AATACATTCCACTTTTTGAGTTCTATACGTATGCCTCATCCGAAACGTGTTCCAGGCAAAATTGAATTGTTATGGGCATGGTAATAATGATATATATTTCCTATCTGTTTTGACAATTACAGGTACTCGTTCTCTTATTTTCGTCGGTTTTGCGTTACATTGTATGATTCATTATAAATGGATGGTGCATAAGGGGGGAACAACATTTAAAGAAGTATTGGTGCACTACGACATATTAATTCGCCCTCCGCTGGAGATGACTTTATTATTTCCCAGAAATTCAGTAGACAATAATATTTAAGAAGGACACTTATACACGTGTCAGTCTGAGAAAAAGGCTAAAAATACCCTTGCCGGGGAGGGGGGGGGGGGGGGGGGAGGGGGTCGTGCCGTGCGTGCATTGTATAACTATGCACGCATACCGCTTTCTTCACGCATGGGTAAGCGGTCACTGGCGGGAAAGTGGACGATGCATGGGTGGTCAGAATCCAAGCTGTGCACAATAAAAGCCGGCCAAGACGTGCTGGTCTTTCATTCGATCTCACGATCCGATACATTCCAAGTCCTCCAATATGGCTCCCAAAGTTAGCGGAAAAGGTCAGAAGAAGGCCGGAAATACTAAGGGTCCGGTTAGCGCAAACAAAAAGAGGCACCGGCGTCGCAAGGAGAGCTACGGCATCTACATCTACAAAGTGATGAAACAGGTGCACCCCGACACCGGAATCTCGAGCAAGGCAATGAGCATCATGAACAGCTTTGTCAACGACGTGTTTGAGCGCATCGCCAGCGAATCTTCTCGCCTCGCTCTCTACAACAAGAAGTCCACCATCACAAGCCGTGAAGTGCAGACAGCAGTACGCCTACTTCTTCCCGGGGAGCTTGCTAAGCATGCAGTCAGCGAAGGCACCAAGGCCGTCACCAAGTACACGACTTCAAAATAGAAATTTTGAAGGCTTCAAAACCAAACGGCTCTTTTCAGAGCCAACACAGTTTCCAAAAAGAGATTTGCCAGTCAGCTCAGTTCGCCCGATCAGCCCATTTCTTAGGTTTTACAACTAACCTTTTTTTTATTCTGTTGTGTCCCTTTCACTCTCTCTCTCTTTTTTTTTAATATTCTTTTACCCTTCGTGAGGCGAGGGGAGGTAATGCGATTAAAGTTAATCCCTGAGTCTTGTCGTCGTCGTAAACACATAATTTAATTTATGCCACAGCCTTTGTCAATTGGTCATTTCTTTCAATCTCCGGACGAGTGCTTGCATTTTGTTGAGTGGGTTACTATTAAAAAATAAATTAGGATTTCGTCTGTGGGATGTTACAAATATCTAGCAAGAAACCGAGGCCAGTTTTAACCGCCGCGTGAGAGCAACGAATCACTGCCATTGTGCGGAGGCTGGTCGAAAGATCATGGGACTTCTTCGGCGGAATAACAATAAAACGTCTTAAAATGGAGGTAAGAATGTTGCATGTTTCTGTGTTTTATCTAGTGATTCCATTACTTTGAACGACGATGACACAGTTGTAATTTTTTGTTCCCTCGTCCCCCGCGTCCAAAATGGATGCGGTGCACCCAACCGTGCGACGGGCACGCCCGTGTCGCGTGATTGGCTACTTGGCACGCTTCAGCCAATCCACCAGAACGCTATAACTAGTGTCGTGTTTTCCAAGTGGGTTCATTCACACACCACCTTTACTGCAGAGTACATTCATCTTCTGTCACTATACTGTCAAGATGACTGGGCGAGGAAAGAGCGGCAAAGCTAGAAGCAAGGCCAAGAGCAGGTCCTCCAGGGCGGGACTCCAGTTCCCCGTGGGTCGTGTTCACAGATTTCTGCGTAAGGGCAACTACGCCCAGCGTGTCGGTGCCGGTGCACCGGTCTACCTTGCGGCAGTGATGGAGTACCTTACCGCGGAGATCTTGGAACTGGCCGGAAACGCTGCACGAGACAACAAGAAGACGAGAATTAATCCCCGCCATCTGCAGCTTGCTATACGCAACGACGAGGAGTTGAACAAGTTGATGAGCGGAGTTACCATCGCGCAGGGTGGTGTCCTTCCCAACATCCAGCAAGTTCTTCTGCCCAAGAAGACCGCCAAAGTGTCAAAGTAAAGAAAAGAACTTACTTTGCATCCACAAACCCAAAAGGCTCTTTTCAGAGCCACCACAACCTTCAAAAAAGAGATTTGTCGCTGCCTGTCTAACTCCACCTCTACCTTCACTCATAGCCGAAATCAATTTCTCTAATTTTTTTTATAAACAATAGAACACTGTTCCAGATAGAATTCCCACTGTGTCCTTTAACTTAAGCATTATGCAAAATTTTACGCACTGCGTATGTGACCGGCCGGCCGGCTGAGTACATTAGCCATACATGTATGTATATGTATTGTCTTAAATGTTGCCTCATGTAGAATGTGAATGACTTATTCACCAAAGGTTACAAAAATGGACAAATAATGGTGCGTTGACATTTGTTTCCCGTTTGTTTCTTTTCTTTCTTTCTCTCTTCAATTAACTCCCCGCGGGACCGCATTGATATTGATACATAAGTATTATAAGCGCAAATGAAAACGGTATGACGAATGTTTTCTTTTCTTTCGAATTTTCTTCTTATAACTTCATGACGAAATAAACAATAAATCAATGAAATAAAATAGTAATTATTACAAAAAGGGGAAATAAGTAAGTGAAAAAATAACAAAACAAAACAATAACCAAGCAATTAAAGGAAAGCGGCAGGCTGGGACTCGAACCCACGGTCGATTACTTTCTACATGTGCTCTCTAACCACTCGGCCACGGAGCTTACTGACAAACTGAAGTATTTCCCCGCCCCTAATGTGGGACCCATTGGCAGGGCCTGAGAAATACCCAGATGGGAAACGCCGAGGCGCGATGACCGGGAGTGTTGAAGGGCGCCATCTATTGATATGCTTGTCCCGGTACATCGTACGTACGGCATTTAGTGCCGACGCTCTCGCTCACTGATGCATTGATCCCATTTTTTGTCTGGATTAATTTTTTCAACAAGATTTTTGGTGAAATATGATCGAGGTGTATGAAAATGCATGATAGAAATATTTTTAAGAATGTATATGTCTCTGTTAATCTGAGAAAGCCGGAGATTTCTTGCTCATCTCTCTCTCCCCGGGTTTCGTTGAGTTGCGGTGGACGCGCAGGAGTCTTTTTTTTGTTTTCACACCAGGAAACAAAAAAAGGCAAAAATAAATAATAAGAAGAACAATAGCAAACAGTATTTCAAGACGAATAATCCCTTTCCGCGCTATTGTTTTAATATTAATCGTTATCGCTTCTCGGCCTTTTGGCTAAGATCATGTGTAGTATCTGTTCTTTTCAGCTTAATATCTGAAACGCTGTTCATTGAACAGCCAGTATATTAAACTGATTTTTGGATTTGGGCCGTGGAATAGAGGCTTGCCTCGTCCCGGCCACGGGTTGGCCCGGTATAGCAGTACATCCGGGATTCGGCCCACTCCCTTCGGGGAACATCAATTAATACAAAAACAGGTTCTGACTACGGTGCCCCGTCGTTAAAGGTTCGTTTTCTTTTGACGTTTTGGTGACAGGGCTTTCACATTGAATTACGGTAAATATTAGTAAGTGTGTAAAGTCTTGTTAAATTATGATGTTGGCGTTTCCATTGATTTCCGTTCAAGGTGTAAAAAAAAAAAAAAAAAAAAAAAAAGGCTTGGCCACGACCCCTCTGTGTCTGGTTATAAATGTATTGTTTGAGTCTCGTTGCAATATGTTTCTAGGCATCTTCTTCCTTTTCTTATTTGTTATCCCTTTTCCCCTTGTTTTGCTTCTGATTTGTTTGTTTCCCAGGATGAGTGCTCCTGCCACGATTGGTCGCCAGAGGGCGCCGTAACAGTTGATGGCTTCGCATGCTCATATCGCGTCCGCGCATGTCCTATAAGTTGCCTCGCCGGGGCTGGGATGGCCATTGAATCATCTACAACCGACTGAGGAGACACAAACATGTCTGGCCGTGGCAAAGGAGGAAAGGGACTAGGCAAAGGGGGTGCCAAGCGACACCGCAAGGTTCTCCGAGATAACATCCAGGGAATCACTAAACCAGCCATTCGTCGGCTGGCCCGCCGCGGAGGAGTCAAGCGTATCTCCGGGCTCATCTACGAAGAAACCCGCGGAGTCCTCAAGGTTTTCCTGGAGAACGTTATCCGCGATGCAGTCACCTACTGCGAGCACGCCAAGAGGAAGACTGTCACTGCAATGGACGTGGTGTATGCGCTGAAGAGACAGGGACGCACGCTGTACGGCTTCGGCGGCTAGACACCATATCCAAAAATCAAACCGAACGGCTCTTTTCAGAGCCACCACTATTTCAAAAAAGAGATTGAATCTTGATTTTACTCGATTTCACTTGTCCTTGTCATGTGTGTTCTTAGAGTTTTCTTTCCCCTCCCTATTTCCACTGTAAAACATGTCTGGTCTCCATTTTTTGTCAAAGTCGATTAAGTAATAATTACTGGGTGCTCGTCTCAGGATATAGCGGGGAACGTATAGAGGGATCCGTGACATTTTGTTCGCGAATGGGTGTGTGTGATTATTGTCTTTATTACAAAACAAACATAAACAGCAGCCAGGGAAATCCGTATGTTTGTCACTTTTCTTTTAGGGGTGGGGGAGGGGGTGTTTATTGGGGTTCAATTAATCCCAAGTAGGGGGTGGGAGAAATATTGTAGTCTCAACGATCCCAAATGGATTCTGTTGCCGAGGGCTCATAATACTATAGGCTCGGAAAAGCAGCATTTTCGATTGAAATTTAACGTCTATACTTTTTCAACGTACGGAAATCGTGATCACTGAAGCGTCTCCGCTTGGCCCCCGAAGCACCCAATCGGAAGATAGCCCATTGTTAGGCTTCCAACCTAGGATGCTATGCGCCGGCCTTAAGAGGCGGGGTCCGTTCGCTCAATCTGCACTCAGTTGTGATCACCGTTCATCAAACCATACCCTTGACCATGGCGCGCACCAAGCAGACGGCAAGAAAGAGCACCGGGGGGAAAGCCCCCAGGAAGCAGTTGGCCACCAAGGCGGCCCGCAAGAGCGCACCGGCGACTGGCGGTGTCAAGAAACCCCATCGGTACCGACCGGGAACCGTCGCCCTCCGTGAGATTCGCCGCTACCAGAAGAGCACCGAACTGCTGATCCGAAAGCTGCCATTCCAGAGACTTGTGCGTGAAATTGCACAGGATTTCAAAACTGAACTGCGATTCCAGAGTTCTGCCGTCATGGCATTGCAAGAAGCGAGCGAAGCTTACCTCGTCGGCCTCTTCGAAGACACCAACCTGTGCGCCATTCACGCCAAGAGGGTCACCATCATGCCCAAGGACATCCAGTTGGCCCGCCGAATTCGGGGTGAACGAGCTTGAGCACGTTGTGTGCGCAAAAAGAAATAAAACTAACGGCTCTTTTCAGAGCCACTACTTCTTCAAAGAGAGATTAAGTCCAATCCCTGAGTTTTCCTTCAAATAAAGAATAAAGGGCCGTTGATTTTTTTCCGAATTATTATTGTTGATATTCTGTCCAAATACATTCCACTTTTTGAGTTCTATACGTATGCCTCATCCGAAACGTGTTCCAGGCAAAATTGAATTGTTATGGGCATGGTAATAATGATATATATTTCCTATCTGTTTTGACAATTACAGGTACTCGTTCTCTTATTTTCGTCGGTTTTGCGTTACATTGTATGATTCATTATAAATGGATGGTGCATAAGGGGGAAACAACATTTAAAGAAGTATTGGTGCACTACGACATATTAATTCGCCCTCCGCTGGAGATGACTTTATTATTTCCCAGAAATTCAGTAGACAATAATATTTAAGAAGGACACTTATACACGTGTCAGTCTGAGAAAAAGGCTAAAAATACCCTTGCCGGGGAGGGGGGGGGGGGGGGGGGGTCGTGCCGTGCGTGCATTGTATAACTATGCACGCATACCGCTTTCTTCACGCATGGGTAAGCGGTCACTGGCGGGAAAGTGGACGATGCATGGGTGGTCAGAATCCAAGCTGTGCACAATAAAAGCCGGCCAAGACGTGCTGGTCTTTCATTCGATCTCACGATCCGATACATTCCAAGTCCTCCAATATGGCTCCCAAAGTTAGCGGAAAAGGTCAGAAGAAGGCCGGAAATACTAAGGGTCCGGTTAGCGCAAACAAAAAGAGGCACCGGCGTCGCAAGGAGAGCTACGGCATCTACATCTACAAAGTGATGAAACAGGTGCACCCCGACACCGGAATCTCGAGCAAGGCAATGAGCATCATGAACAGCTTTGTCAACGACGTGTTTGAGCGCATCGCCAGCGAATCTTCTCGCCTCGCTCTCTACAACAAGAAGTCCACCATCACAAGCCGTGAAGTGCAGACAGCAGTACGCCTACTTCTTCCCGGGGAGCTTGCTAAGCATGCAGTCAGCGAAGGCACCAAGGCCGTCACCAAGTACACGACTTCAAAATAGAAATTTTGAAGGCTTCAAAACCAAACGGCTCTTTTCAGAGCCAACACAGTTTCCAAAAAGAGATTTGCCAGTCAGCTCAGTTCGCCCGATCAGCCCATTTCTTAGGTTTTACAACTAACCTTTTTTTTATTCTGTTGTGTCCCTTTCACTCTCTCTCTCTTTTTTTTTAATATTCTTTTACCCTTCGTGAGGCGAGGGGAGGTAATGCGATTAAAGTTAATCCCTGAGTCTTGTCGTCGTCGTAAACACATAATTTAATTTATGCCACAGCCTTTGTCAATTGGTCATTTCTTTCAATCTCCGGACGAGTGCTTGCATTTTGTTGAGTGGGTTACTATTAAAAAATAAATTAGGATTTCGTCTGTGGGATGTTACAAATATCTAGCAAGAAACCGAGGCCAGTTTTAACCGCCGCGTGAGAGCAACGAATCACTGCCATTGTGCGGAGGCTGGTCGAAAGATCATGGGACTTCTTCGGCGGAATAACAATAAAACGTCTTAAAATGGAGGTAAGAATGTTGCATGTTTCTGTGTTTTATCTAGTGATTCCATTACTTTGAACGACGATGACACAGTTGTAATTTTTTGTTCCCTCGTCCCCCGCGTCCAAAATGGATGCGGTGCACCCAACCGTGCGACGGGCACGCCCGTGTCGCGTGATTGGCTACTTGGCACGCTTCAGCCAATCCACCAGAACGCTATAACTAGTGTCGTGTTTTCCAAGTGGGTTCATTCACACACCACCTTTACTGCAGAGTACATTCATCTTCTGTCACTATACTGTCAAGATGACTGGGCGAGGAAAGAGCGGCAAAGCTAGAAGCAAGGCCAAGAGCAGGTCCTCCAGGGCGGGACTCCAGTTCCCCGTGGGTCGTGTTCACAGATTTCTGCGTAAGGGCAACTACGCCCAGCGTGTCGGTGCCGGTGCACCGGTCTACCTTGCGGCAGTGATGGAGTACCTTACCGCGGAGATCTTGGAACTGGCCGGAAACGCTGCACGAGACAACAAGAAGACGAGAATTAATCCCCGCCATCTGCAGCTTGCTATACGCAACGACGAGGAGTTGAACAAGTTGATGAGCGGAGTTACCATCGCGCAGGGTGGTGTCCTTCCCAACATCCAGCAAGTTCTTCTGCCCAAGAAGACCGCCAAAGTGTCAAAGTAAAGAAAAGAACTTACTTTGCATCCACAAACCCAAAAGGCTCTTTTCAGAGCCACCACAACCTTCAAAAAAGAGATTTGTCGCTGCCTGTCTAACTCCACCTCTACCTTCACTCATAGCCGAAATCAATTTCTCTAATTTTTTTTATAAACAATAGAACACTGTTCCAGATAGAATTCCCACTGTGTCCTTTAACTTAAGCATTATGCAAAATTTTACGCACTGCGTATGTGACCGGCCGGCCGGCTGAGTACATTAGCCATACATGTATGTATATGTATTGTCTTAAATGTTGCCTCATGTAGAATGTGAATGACTTATTCACCAAAGGTTACAAAAATGGACAAATAATGGTGCGTTGACATTTGTTTCCCGTTTGTTTCTTTTCTTTCTTTCTCTCTTCAATTAACTCCCCGCGGGACCGCATTGATATTGATACATAAGTATTATAAGCGCAAATGAAAACGGTATGACGAATGTTTTCTTTTCTTTCGAATTTTCTTCTTATAACTTCATGACGAAATAAACAATAAATCAATGAAATAAAATAGTAATTATTACAAAAAGGGGAAATAAGTAAGTGAAAAAATAACAAAACAAAACAATAACCAAGCAATTAAAGGAAAGCGGCAGGCTGGGACTCGAACCCACGGTCGATTACTTTCTACATGTGCTCTCTAACCACTCGGCCACGGAGCTTACTGACAAACTGAAGTATTTCCCCGCCCCTAATGTGGGACCCATTGGCAGGGCCTGAGAAATACCCAGATGGGAAACGCCGAGGCGCGATGACCGGGAGTGTTGAAGGGCGCCATCTATTGATATGCTTGTCCCGGTACATCGTACGTACGGCATTTAGTGCCGACGCTCTCGCTCACTGATGCATTGATCCCATTTTTTGTCTGGATTAATTTTTTCAACAAGATTTTTGGTGAAATATGATCGAGGTGTATGAAAATGCATGATAGAAATATTTTTAAGAATGTATATGTCTCTGTTAATCTGAGAAAGCCGGAGATTTCTTGCTCATCTCTCTCTCCCCGGGTTTCGTTGAGTTGCGGTGGACGCGCAGGAGTCTTTTTTTTGTTTTCACACCAGGAAACAAAAAAAGGCAAAAATAAATAATAAGAAGAACAATAGCAAACAGTATTTCAAGACGAATAATCCCTTTCCGCGCTATTGTTTTAATATTAATCGTTATCGCTTCTCGGCCTTTTGGCTAAGATCATGTGTAGTATCTGTTCTTTTCAGCTTAATATCTGAAACGCTGTTCATTGAACAGCCAGTATATTAAACTGATTTTTGGATTTGGGCCGTGGAATAGAGGCTTGCCTCGTCCCGGCCACGGGTTGGCCCGGTATAGCAGTACATCCGGGATTCGGCCCACTCCCTTCGGGGAACATCAATTAATACAAAAACAGGTTCTGACTACGGTGCCCCGTCGTTAAAGGTTCGTTTTCTTTTGACGTTTTGGTGACAGGGCTTTCACATTGAATTACGGTAAATATTAGTAAGTGTGTAAAGTCTTGTTAAATTATGATGTTGGCGTTTCCATTGATTTCCGTTCAAGGTGTAAAAAAAAAAAAAAAAAAAAAAAAAAAAAGGCTTGGCCACGACCCCTCTGTGTCTGGTTATAAATGTATTGTTTGAGTCTCGTTGCAATATGTTTCTAGGCATCTTCTTCCTTTTCTTATTTGTTATCCCTTTTCCCCCTTGTTTTGCTTCTGATTTGTTTGTTTCCCAGGATGAGTGCTCCTGCCACGATTGGTCGCCAGAGGGCGCCGTAACAGTTGATGGCTTCGCATGCTCATATCGCGTCCGCGCATGTCCTATAAGTTGCCTCGCCGGGGCTGGGATGGCCATTGAATCATCTACAACCGACTGAGGAGACACAAACATGTCTGGCCGTGGCAAAGGAGGAAAGGGACTAGGCAAAGGGGGTGCCAAGCGACACCGCAAGGTTCTCCGAGATAACATCCAGGGAATCACTAAACCAGCCATTCGTCGGCTGGCCCGCCGCGGAGGAGTCAAGCGTATCTCCGGGCTCATCTACGAAGAAACCCGCGGAGTCCTCAAGGTTTTCCTGGAGAACGTTATCCGCGATGCAGTCACCTACTGCGAGCACGCCAAGAGGAAGACTGTCACTGCAATGGACGTGGTGTATGCGCTGAAGAGACAGGGACGCACGCTGTACGGCTTCGGCGGCTAGACACCATATCCAAAAATCAAACCGAACGGCTCTTTTCAGAGCCACCACTATTTCAAAAAAGAGATTGAATCTTGATTTTACTCGATTTCACTTGTCCTTGTCATGTGTGTTCTTAGAGTTTCTTTCCCCTCCCTATTTCCACTGTAAAACATGTCTGGTCTCCATTTTTTTGTCAAAGTCGATTAAGTAATAATTACTGGGTGCTCGTCTCAGGATATAGCGGGGAACGTATAGAGGGATCCGTGACATTTTGTTCGCGAATGGGTGTGTGTGATTATTGTCTTTATTACAAAACAAACATAAACAGCAGCCAGGGAAATCCGTATGTTTGTCACTTTTCTTTTAGGGGTGGGGGAGGGGGTGTTTATTGGGGTTCAATTAATCCCAAGTAGGGGGTGGGAGAAATATTGTAGTCTCAACGATCCCAAATGGATTCTGTTGCCGAGGGCTCATAATACTATAGGCTCGGAAAAGCAGCATTTTCGATTGAAATTTAACGTCTATACTTTTTCAACGTACGGAAATCGTGATCACTGAAGCGTCTCCGCTTGGCCCCCGAAGCACCCAATCGGAAGATAGCCCATTGTTAGGCTTCCAACCTAGGATGCTATGCGCCGGCCTTAAGAGGCGGGGTCCGTTCGCTCAATCTGCACTCAGTTGTGATCACCGTTCATCAAACCATACCCTTGACCATGGCGCGCACCAAGCAGACGGCAAGAAAGAGCACCGGGGGGAAAGCCCCCAGGAAGCAGTTGGCCACCAAGGCGGCCCGCAAGAGCGCACCGGCGACTGGCGGTGTCAAGAAACCCCATCGGTACCGACCGGGAACCGTCGCCCTCCGTGAGATTCGCCGCTACCAGAAGAGCACCGAACTGCTGATCCGAAAGCTGCCATTCCAGAGACTTGTGCGTGAAATTGCACAGGATTTCAAAACTGAACTGCGATTCCAGAGTTCTGCCGTCATGGCATTGCAAGAAGCGAGCGAAGCTTACCTCGTCGGCCTCTTCGAAGACACCAACCTGTGCGCCATTCACGCCAAGAGGGTCACCATCATGCCCAAGGACATCCAGTTGGCCCGCCGAATTCGGGGGTGAACGAGCTTGAGCACGTTGTGTGCGCAAAAAGAAATAAAACTAACGGCTCTTTTCAGAGCCACTACTTCTTCAAAGAGAGATTAAGTCCAATCCCTGAGTTTCCTTCAAATAAAGAATAAAGGGCCGTTGATTTTTTTCCGAATTATTATTGTTGATATTCTGTCCAAATACATTCCACTTTTTGAGTTCTATACGTATGCCTCATCCGAAACGTGTTCCAGGCAAAATTGAATTGTTATGGGCATGGTAATAATGATATATATTTCCTATCTGTTTTGACAATTACAGGTACTCGTTCTCTTATTTTCGTCGGTTTTGCGTTACATTGTATGATTCATTATAAATGGATGGTGCATAAGGGGGGAAACAACATTTAAAGAAGTATTGGTGCACTACGACATATTAATTCGCCCTCCGCTGGAGATGACTTTATTATTTCCCAGAAATTCAGTAGACAATAATATTTAAGAAGGACACTTATACACGTGTCAGTCTGAGAAAAAGGCTAAAAATACCCTTGCCGGGAGGGGGGGGGGGGGGGGGGGTCGTGCCGTGCGTGCATTGTATAACTATGCACGCATACCGCTTTCTTCACGCATGGGTAAGCGGTCACTGGCGGGAAAGTGGACGATGCATGGGTGGTCAGAATCCAAGCTGTGCACAATAAAAGCCGGCCAAGACGTGCTGGTCTTTCATTCGATCTCACGATCCGATACATTCCAAGTCCTCCAATATGGCTCCCAAAGTTAGCGGAAAAGGTCAGAAGAAGGCCGGAAATACTAAGGGTCCGGTTAGCGCAAACAAAAAGAGGCACCGGCGTCGCAAGGAGAGCTACGGCATCTACATCTACAAAGTGATGAAACAGGTGCACCCCGACACCGGAATCTCGAGCAAGGCAATGAGCATCATGAACAGCTTTGTCAACGACGTGTTTGAGCGCATCGCCAGCGAATCTTCTCGCCTCGCTCTCTACAACAAGAAGTCCACCATCACAAGCCGTGAAGTGCAGACAGCAGTACGCCTACTTCTTCCCGGGGAGCTTGCTAAGCATGCAGTCAGCGAAGGCACCAAGGCCGTCACCAAGTACACGACTTCAAAATAGAAATTTTGAAGGCTTCAAAACCAAACGCTCTTTTCAGAGCCAACACAGTTTCCAAAAAGAGATTTGCCAGTCAGCTCAGTTCGCCCGATCAGCCCATTTCTTAGGTTTTACAACTAACCTTTTTTATTCTGTTGTGTCCCTTTCACTCTCTCTCTTTTTTTTTTAATATTCTTTTACCCTTCGTGAGGCGAGGGGAGGTAATGCGATTAAAGTTAATCCCTGAGTCTTGTCGTCGTCGTAAACACATAATTTAATTTATGCCACAGCCTTTGTCAATTGGTCATTTCTTTCAATCTCCGGACGAGTGCTTGCATTTTGTTGAGTGGGTTACTATTAAAAAATAAATTAGGATTTCGTCTGTGGGATGTTACAAATATCTAGCAAGAAACCGAGGCCAGTTTTAACCGCCGCGTGAGAGCAACGAATCACTGCCATTGTGCGGAGGCTGGTCGAAAGATCATGGGACTTCTTCGGCGGAATAATAACATAAAACGTCTTAAAATGGAGGTAAGAATGTTGCATGTTTCTGTGTTTTATCTAGTGATTCCATTACTTTGAACGACGATGACACAGTTGTAATTTTTTGTTCCTCGTCCCCCGCGTCCAAATGGATGCGGTGCACCAACCGTGCGACGGGCACGCCCGTGTCGCGTGATTGGCTACTTGGCACGCTTCAGCCAATCCACCAGAACGCTATAACTAGTGTCGTGTTTTCCAAGTGGGTTCATTCACACACCACCTTTACTGCAGAGTACATTCATCTTCTGTCACTATACTGTCAAGATGACTGGCGGGCGAGGAAAGAGCGGCAAAGCTAGAAGCAAGGCCAAGAGCAGGTCCTCCAGGGCGGGACTCCAGTTCCCCGTGGGTCGTGTTCACAGATTTCTGCGTAAGGGCAACTACGCCCAGCGTGTCGGTGCCGGTGCACCGGTCTACCTTGCGGCAGTGATGGAGTACCTTACCGCGGAGATCTTGGAACTGGCCGGAAACGCTGCACGAGACAACAAGAAGACGAGAATTAATCCCCGCCATCTGCAGCTTGCTATACGCAACGACGAGGAGTTGAACAAGTTGATGAGCGGAGTTACCATCGCGCAGGGTGGTGTCCTTCCCAACATCCAGCAAGTTCTTCTGCCCAGAAGACCGCCAAAGTGTCAAAGTAAAGAAAAGAACTTACTTTGCATCCACAAACCCAAAAGGCTCTTTTCAGAGCCACCACAACCTTCAAAAAAGAGATTTGTCGCTGCCTGTCTAACTCCACCTCTACCTTCACTCATAGCCGAAATCAATTTCTCTAATTTTTTTTATAAACAATAGAACACTGTTCCAGATAGAATTCCCACTGTGTCCTTTAACTTAAGCATTATGCAAAATTTTACGCACTGCGTATGTGACCGGCCGGCCGGCTGAGTACATTAGCCATACATGTATGTATATGTATTGTCTTAAATGTTGCCTCATGTAGAATGTGAATGACTTATTCACCAAAGGTTACAAAAATGGACAAATAATGGTGCGTTGACATTTGTTTCCCGTTTGTTTTTTTCTTTCTTTCTCTCTTCAATTAACTCCCCGCGGGACCGCATTGATATTGATACATAAGTATTATAAGCGCAAATGAAAACGGTATGACGAATGTTTTCTTTTCTTTCGAATTTTCTTCTTATAACTTCATGACGAAATAAACAATAAATCAATGAAATAAAATAGTAATTATTACAAAAAGGGGAAATAAGTAAGTGAAAAAATAACAAAACAAAACAATAAACAAGCAATTAAAGGAAAGCGGCAGGCTGGGACTCGAACCCACGGTCGATTACTTTCTACATGTGCTCTAACCACTCGGCCACGGAGCTTACTGACAAACTGAAGTATTTCCCCGCCCCTAATGTGGGACCCATTGGCAGGGCCTGAGAAATACCCAGATGGGAAACGCCGAGGCGCGATGACCGGGAGTGTTGAAGGGCGCCATCTATTGATATGCTTGTCCGGTACATCGTACGTACGGCATTTAGTGCCGACGCTCTCGCTCACTGATGCATTGATCCCATTTTTTGTCTGGATTAATTTTTTCAACAAGATTTTTGGTGAAATATGATCGAGGTGTATGAAAATGCATGATAGAAATATTTTTAAGAATGTATATGGTCTGTTAATCTGAGAAAGCCGGAGATTTCTTGCTCATCTCTCTCTCCCCGGGTTTCGTTGAGTTGCGGTGGACGCGCAGGAGTCTTTTTTTTGTTTTCACACCAGGAAACAAAAAAAGGCAAAAAATAATAAGAAGAACAATAGCAAACAGTATTTCAAGACGAATAATCCCTTTCCGCGCTATTGTTTTAATAT